TTGTTTGTTTAGAAGCAAAAAGCCAGTTGGCTTAATAAAATTTAGAGTTATTTAATTATTTAGCAATTTTTTTGTTAAGAAAATTTTGTATGAGTGATAGATAGGGAGAGAGAGTCCTAGAGGTCACCTTAACACCAAAATATATATATATATATATATTAATTATTTTTAGATTTTTACTAAAATGCAACTATATATAGCCAGATCTTTTTAAATACACTCTTTTTAAATACAGTACCTCTTAGAGTTAATACTTCAATCCGGATATAAATATATTCGGATAGATATTTTGTTAAAAATTTATAGTAAAACATAGTAATTATATCCGGATACATCCAGATATAAAATAAATCCGGATATAAAAACATAGTAAAGTGTTAACTCTAGTACCTCTTTAAATATATGATATAAGCCCGGGCTAGTAGTAGAAATTATAAATAAATATATGTTCTTTATTTTGTAAATATATACTAATTGTCTAGCTCACTTATAAAAACATTTTTATAAATATATTTATACAATTATTAGCCAATTAAATTCATTATTTTTAGGCTATTAAAGCTATATTTATTTTATAATAATAGTCACATTGTAATTTTATTAGTGTTCTCTAATTGCAACTCTCTCTAAATATACACTTTATAGCTAGTTCTAACAATATATATTTAAAAAGATTAGACTATATAGTATTTTATATTTATTATTACAATATCATAGCCTTTTTAATATTGTTATATAAATATATTTTTATTAAAATAGTTATACAAATTACTATTTATAGTTTAATGCAAATCATATAATTCAAATTTATACTATTAGTTTTTTTAAAAATTTTTTACTGTTTTGAATTTAAAAACATATTTAAAATTTAACATAGTATTTTACTATTAGAGTTCTTAAGTTTAATTCAGTTCAGTTTAGTTTAGTTTGAATTCAGTTTTTAATTTTAATTAAATCTAAAAAAAATTTTTTTTTTTTATATTGCCGAATTGCCATAATAGGGGAATGGCTAAAGCTTGGTGCATTTATATGTTTTTGATTATTTAATTAAAATTAGAGTAAGGGTTAGTTAGGAGTTAGGGTTGGAGCAGTTTTTATAGGTAAAATCATCTTCCCGACATTTTTTATTAATGCTTCAAGACAGGTTTAGACACTTGTTTCTTGTATTTTCGGCGTTTTTTACTTTTTTTCTTTGTTTTTGTCTCGCCAGGCTGATCCGGGTTAATCAAAATTTATATTTTGATTGGCTGTTAGTCACATGAACGCACCTGGCTTTAGACGGTCCCCATAATAGGTGAACTTTATTAGAAGTAATATTTAATATTATTATATTTTATATTGTTATATACTGCTAGTATATTTTTAAATCTATAAGAGTATATCAAGCTATACTAGAGATTGTGGCACGGCAGTCACAGGCATGCCATTATGGCATACCAATGATGGCATGCTATAGAGTATACCAAATCCAAAATAGTTATAAAAGTATACCACCTATAGTATATATAGTATATACATATACACAATATCAAATATACAATACAGGGTCAGAATTTTTTAGTGATAGCACTAATGATTCATTTACAACAATTGCTACAAGTAGCACTACCCACATAACCCGTAAAATCAATAGCTACCCTGGTCATATCTATGTACTCTTTCACTTCTATATTTTAAATAGTTTACTAAAAATGAAACTAGAACTTACTAGAGTAAGCTAAATTTACTTTTTTTTAATGTTCTTATATACTTTAAAATAACAAATCTTACAATCTTTTAGATTATCTTGTGCTCTTGATCTAGATCTTGCTTTCTAAGATGAAATTGGTAGATTTACAAACTTATAATTATGTAATATTTATGAAACTTATCACAATTTTATATTAAATAAAAATTTATATTTAGAGTTTAGCACTTTTTATATACTTTTTATCATGCTATTAACTATAGCAAGTGAACTATTACTGAATTCAAATGTTTATTTTTCAAGAAGAATTTAGTGTTTATATAATATATCCTTTTTGTAGAAATAAAAACTTTAATATTACTATTACAACTATATATTTTTTTTTTAACACTAATTTTGTCAGAGTAGTATAAAATGAAAAAAGATTTACATAGTAAACTTTATAAAATTTTCTATAATTTGAAGATATTGTCAATTAACCAATCTTCGGTAGTATTAGTAGATAGTTGAGAATAATCAATCGAACTTTTTTTAATTGTTTTCTCTTGATTTTGTTTATATATTTGAATATTAAAAAGATTTTCTATCATTAGTTCATTCTTTATATCTATATCCTCTGCTTCTATGCCAAACTGCAAAAGCTCTTCATCAAGTTCTTTCTCAAGATAAAAGTCAATATTGGTATCTTCAATATCAGAATCATCAAGCAAATCTTGACTTTTTTTTTTACTATTTTTAGTTGATCTTGTTGAAGGTTATGACAAAGCATTTCAAGCATTCTTGTTATGATAGAAGATAACCTAATGTGTAGTTTAGTTTTTACTAACCCCAAGCTAAAAAATAAATATTCGATAGCTGCAGCATGTGAAATAATTACAAATATTTTTATAGCAAAATGTCAGAAAAGAGGAGAACCTTGGTCCAAAAAGTTTTAGAATTAATATTTTTAATAGATTTTATATTATTAAAAGGAGCATCACTATTTTTATAGCTAACAAGTTCTTTAAACAGAAGTGTTGTTTCTCTTTTATCAAAACTCTAAACCTTTGCCAACTTCAGAGATGCTCTAATGATTGAATCTTCCAACATTTGTCTTGAAACTGCAATTTATTTATAATGTGGTGATAAAAAAAATACAACAAAAAAAATACTATCAGAGAATTCACATGTTTATCTATCAATAACAGCTAAGGTATAGTTTTTGAATTCGTCAATTTGAATAGTAGTTGTAGAAATAGTGTAATATATATTTAGTAGTTTTTTAAAGATATTAGCTAATGTAGCATCTCTTGATTCAAGGTGGCTGATAGCATTTATGATAGAAAAATACACTTTTATTAGTGTATCATTGTTTGCAAAATGGTAGCAGTTAGTAACTATATTTTGAATTTCTATTTTAATTGACAAATAGTTGTCAGTTTACTAAGCATAATACAGTGGTAAAATCCTTTTTCAAAGGATTTTACCTCAAGCAAACTT